ACATATATTTTTTATATTATACTCGTTGATAGGCATTTATAAAAAGATCTAACCTTTCTAACTGCATGTAACATAGCATAGACGATACTTCAATCAATGCTGTGATAATGTTTTAGTACACACATATATATATATATATATATATATATATATATATATATATATATATATATATATATATATATATATATATGCATGTAGTAGCAAAATATTAATAAAAATATAAATACTTATTACTTAACGCTATAAAATATTGTGTGATACTTATATTGATACCTATTAGTTGTCTTTGCTTTAGAGTAAAAATGTCATCAAATTCATGCTTTTTTACCATACTACAACATATAACTTTACTTTCTACTTAATAAAGCTTGTAATTAAAGCTGTGTTAGTAATTCTAATTGCTGCAAAAATCGGCTCGTGTATATGTACATTGTACGTTTGAGTTAATTGTCAAATCAAAAAATAACTCAAAAACGCCTGATTGAAATTAAATGTTTAAATTATCCCTAATATGTGTGTGCGTGTGTGTACATAAATGTATCTTTTTGGATTTTTTCACGAATTTTTAATTTTTGATTCCCAACGGTTTGAATGCATAGCAATGGCAACATAGGATATTCGTATATACTCGTATCTAGAAGTTATTAAAGTTTTTTTTAAAGTTACTATTAGAATTTGGCAGTTTCTCTTTATATTATAGTTATCTTACTTTCGTAATTATTTAAACATTGCAGAAGAAAATACAGATTGCTGTGTGGATCAAATGATTTACAAATCACTTTTCTTGAATCTATATTATAAAATATTATATTGTAACCACATATGGGTTGCGAACCTATTTATTAGATAGTTGAAGTAATTATTTTGAGTGAAACTATGATGTGTTTAGCCATATACATTTTTATTATTTTTCTATTAGCAATTGCGTACAATGACAATAAATAAAATTATCATGTTTAAGTTCTTATGCGTATTATTTTTCAGGAGACAGCCTTTTTGTGATTTTTCTGCATATTAGACTAGTGATATGGTTTGGCGTCTGTCAAGTTTCTATCTATAATCGCATACTTATCAGTATCAGCATTTTGAAGGAAATCTCAGTAATAAAAAAATTGATAATTTTCCAGTCATTATAATTTTTAAATAGCAAGCATTTTTACATAATTATGTGTTTTAATCGGACTACTATTATAAAGGCGTAAGTTTGTATATGTATTTGTTTGTAAGTTTAAGTTGTTTGATTGAAAGTTTGTAAGATTATGATGAAGTTGACTATACACATAGATTACTAGGCTAGAGAATGACGTAGTAAGTCATAGAGCCCTTTTTTTTTAACGTTGGAAAATGCATTTACGCACGACGTGTGGGACTCACCGGCGTAATACAGCCAGTACTACCCACTAAAACCCAACAAAACCTTCCCCCGTCTTAATGGGGCGTCGCAGGATCGCTTACGCATTCAACTACGACGCCCCGACGGCAGGTCTGCCAAAGCAGACCACCACAACCATGGGGTTGCTCCAAGGTCCACTCTGCTATCAGAGAAGTACCAGGAGCAACCCGCAAGGTACACCGCCCCCCGAAGAGGGCCACCTCCCACCGCCCACCGAAGTGGGCAACCTCCCTGTGCGTTTCTTAGCTTCGCTACTACTACTGAGCCCCCCCACCACGACAAGGTGAACGCACGTTGGGGGGGAAGTCATAGAGCCCAAGGGTAATCCATTATTATTGAGGATTAAATAGAAACAAAATTGTAATTTACTTCTCCTTCTACTTATATCTACTTCTTACTTATAAACAGGAAAGATTTGTTTTTTGTATGTTTGTAACGAATAAACTCAAAAACTACTGGACCGATTTAGATGAAATTTGGTAAGAAAATAGTTTGAGACCCTGGAAAGGACATAGGGTATTTTTATTCCGGAAATCATCCCGTATGGGGTGGATAGGGATGAAGGTTTGTATGGGGAATCAACCTAGGGACAAACCCGAGCGCAGCGAGGTTGTGTCGCTAGTTTTGTATATATTCAAAATCAAATTCAAAATAAAGTCTAAATTCAAAATTCAGGACTGAGATACAATGTTTTTCTTACAGGCGTCCGAAACTAAAACTGATGAGACATGTGCAAACATGTAATTTATTTTAAATTTTAGTTTTGTTTTCACGCTGTTTTTTGACTTTCTATTCTTGGTGGATGAGCGGGGTACCCAGTAATACGAGTCTACACCTAGTACAGGGGCCTTTGCGACTAGCTTGTAATAATTGCAAGCTTTAAGACAATAAATTTTTTTTTATTATTTAGTAAAACTCACTTACCGAAATACATATAGCATTTTATGCTGGTACAGGTAAGTCCACACACACATAAAATCGTAATAAAAGGCAAAAATAAAATCATGTACTCCATGATTTGTTTGATATACTACAAGAAATACAATTATACGTAAAATGAAAAAATAACAAACTGATAACAGAAAGCAATTGATAATGATAATTAAATTATATTACTGATAATTAAGTTGTATTGTAAAATGTTTTTAACAATAACGTTTATAATCGATTTTCTATTAATCATATTTAAAATCAAGAACGAATAAAATCGATTTTAAATTAATTACTTTAAAATACAAGTGCTTTAAAAACCGATTTTAAATTAATTACTTTTTACCCGATTGCGAAGTCTATATACCTTAAAATTGACGTTGCCAATATCAAAACCTAATTTGCATACCTTACTATTGTTAAGCCAATCCGTAAGTTTTACGTACGTAATTTACGTAATTTATTTCGAAAATTCGTTAAAATATTTAACTACAGGCAGGCGTCTTACACTCGCTTTTCTTGCGTCTCTACATAGAATCTGTTTAATAAACTTCATCGTAATCAGTCCATCCATTTCTAAAAAAAGTAATCCTACTAATAATGTAAATGCGAAAGTTGTGAGGTCTGCATATATTTGTTACTCTTTCACGCAAAAACTACTGAATGGATTTTAATGAAACTTTACAATAATATAGCTCATACATCAAAATAACACATAAGCTATTTTTTATCCCGGAAAAATTACGGTTCCCCTGGGATACATTTGTTTTTCTAGCAAAAAAATATATGAACATACACTTTTGCATATAAAAGAATAATTCAATTCGGATATAATAAATTTGTAGCACATAGCACGAATGTTTGCACTCCAGTCATGGGTCTTTATATTTTAAATATGTATATTGTGTATATTTAAAGTTATAAATATGTATTATATAGTGTATCAACTATCTGGTATCCATAACACAAGCCTCGTAGCTTACCATAGAACTAGATGTTGCTGTGTGTTTATGTCCCAACATAAAAAAAAACACTTTTGCGTTGTAGTATCTACTTCACACGATTTCGATATGATTATATATCGAATATCCGTACTACCGGACACTTATGCTCTATTATATCTCAGTAGCAGATCGCTAATCTCAGTAAGATAAGCCGACGTGACCGATTTTTTTTAAGTGTACAATAAAAATTATTACATAAATATATTAAAGGTAAGGTATGATGTAAATCTGATTGTATTTTTTGAAGTTAAACTTCTTTAGAATCGTTGTAATTTGAAACGAAAATGTGACACTAAAAAGAGACAAACACATAAATCTATAGGATTAAGCCTGCGAGAGAATGAGATAGAATATATACATGGGCATGTTGCCATGGTAACCGTCTGGTTTGTTATTGTCTTACAAATATATAATGTCATATTTTTGCCGTATATGATATTCTATAAATATATGCCTTATTTAATTACTATTGATTTGTTTTAATTTAATTGCGATATTTGCCAAAGAAGTTTTAATTCAACCGCGCGTAAAGCGTGAATATTTATTATTTTTATGTATATGTGTATTATACATTTACTTATGCTGAAAGTTTTGGAAGGATTTGGATAAAACTTAGTCGATAATTCTTAGACATTTCATCCTGCAGTTATTTTACATAAATACATATAACATAGATAGATCTTTTTACTAGCAAATAAAATGATATAATATGCTATTGATACTAAACGTAATACCCTGAATAAATGTAAACAAATAAAATCAATCACAGTATTTATTTGTGTAAAATTATTCTCTTTTTATTGTTATAGGTTGTTCCTCTACAGGACAGTCTTTACCGACCATTCATTTAAAATTGTAGGTAATTTCACTTTAAAACTCCTAAATTTCCAAATCCAAACAAATACCAATCTAACTCATTCGTGTCTTCCTCACGACACTGGTAAGACGTATTGCGTCTCTTAGCGCAATTCAAGCCATTAAAAAAAAATCAATTATTTTTATGTATCAAATATTAGGTAATAATCCCATCCCATTAATATTCTAGAATAGCACATCCGTTACGTTTTACCCCAGAAAAATGTGTGGCACCCGTAGATATCCATGCTAACCATTAAAACGTAATTAGCTTTTACTACTGAGCCATAGGTGACTCAACTTAGAACTTTGTAATAGTTAAAATAAATAGTAATCGAAGTTAAGACTTAACATAATAACCACTGCACCATAGGGACAGGGACTTAGAAATTTTTTTTGTCTTTTTTTGAAAACATAAAAATTTGGAAAACATAAAAATTTGGAAAACATAAAAATTAACCCCGGAAAACCCCAAAAACTATTTTCTTTGCCCAACTCTGTCAAATTTTGACATAAAGACCCCGAGTTTGGGCTCTTTTAAAAGGTCTCGGCTAGCCCTACAATCTCCAATCAACAGATCCCGGATACCTCCCCCCCCCTTCCCCCCCACATTTTGAAAACTTAAATTTTTCTCATAGGTTCAAATTTTTTGTAAATATTGTGTTAGTTCTAAGCAAGATATATTCCATATTGGAATCAAATTAGTGCAATAAGTAATTTAAGGTAAATTAAGACCATAAACGAGCCATTTACACTCGTTTAAAAAATTAAACTTGGCTTTTATTTCACTGACGACGAGCCGAAGACCTGACAAAATGTCCAAAAACTCAGGCAAATCCTCGAACGTAAGGAAGAGTGGCGGCACAAAGCCCAACCCACCGGAACCAGATATGGACACCCTAATGGACGAAGCAAAAAACCTAGTAAAGGCTGCCAAACAACAGATGGACCTGTCAGGAAACCTGAAAACCACCATTAAGGAGACAGTTCTCAAGACCATATACAGACTCTATGACATAGTCGATCTCCTTAATGAGTCAAGGTTACAGGTAAAAAATAATCTGGAGATAGTAATACAAAGAAGAAAGGCAGAAAAGGATCCGGACATAGTAACAATATTAGAGGCGATAAGAGACCAAAACGCTATCGCCCAAACAACGCTGCAGACCATTATGCTGCTAGCGAATGGGATGGACGAGTCGCCAAAAATAGAAGAAGTGAATGAGAAACTTGGAAAAATAACGGAAGAAATAAAGAGACAAAGTGACATAGGTGAAAAAACACAACAGGAGATACAAGAATTTAAAGAGGACATTAAGACAATAAAAGAAATACAGATGAAACCAAATACAATAGAAATAGAAAGCCCAATTCCAAAAACTTATGCAGAAGTGGTTACAGAAAAACCGAGGACTACCCACTGCCTACTTGTAGGTACGGAAGACGAAATAGATACCAGTGAGGATGTAGCCACAAAAATTAAGACCACCATAAAGGCGAAGGAAATGGGCTTCCAAATATCAAAATTTAGGAAAGTTAAAGACCAACGCATCTTGATCGGAACAGAGAACCAAGAGGATTTAGAAACTATCAAAACAACATTAATCAAAAACAAATTTAAGGTAGAAATCAAAGCTAATAAAGACCCCCTAATAATAATTCGAAATGTACAAAACAGCAACACGGACGAAGACATAATACAAGCTATAAAACATCAAAACAAGGACTTAATACAGCATATCCCGGACGAAGAAAATAGAATAGAAGTACGCCACAGAAGGAAAGCAAGGAACCCATTGGAAACCCACGTGGTTCTGCAGGTTTCACCTTTAGTGTGGAAATCGCTGACTACGGCAGGCAGAATTTACGTGGATGTGCAAAGGGTCCCGGTGTTCGACATATCGCCGCTGGTGCAATGTTCGAGGTGCTTGGGATTCGGTCACGGCAGGAAATGGTGTACAGAGACCATTGACCTCTGCAGCCACTGCTCAGGGCCGCATATGCGTACCGAATGCCCCAGCAAGCAAGCAGGAGAACAGCCAGCCTGCAAAAACTGTCAGCACGCCAAATTGAATGACACGGGTCACAACGCTTTCGACGTCGCTTGTCCTGTCAGGCGAAAGTGGGACGCCCTTGCCAGATCCAGCGTGGCGTACTGTTAACACAACTAACACAGCATCAGACGTTAACGCGCAGGATATCGTGAAGATACCCAGGAAATAAGCAGCAACTTAATTCCAGACGCAAGTCGGAAAAGCGAAAACAATAGAGTGAGATAATAGAACCAATACAGAACAAAACTTCAAATAGCATAAGATAGAAAAGTAGTAGTACATGCAAAAAAAAAAAAAAAGAAAAATGCAGTACGAATAGTGTACATAAATATAAGTATGAAACATAGTATATTATATATTATGATTAATATATAAAAGTACTAAGATAAATAGAAATAAGTATTAAGTATTGAACCATAGATATAAATATAATAACTAAAATAGTACACATAAGTAATAGGAAACATAAAAACCTTGTTAAATAAGATAACATAGAAAATAAGTAAATAAAACTGTAAAAATCGTAGTCCGCTAATATAGCATCCAAAAAATGTATAATGAAACCGAATACTAAAGTATAATTGTAAACACACCGAAAAACAATAGATAAATAAATATTAAGGATAAAGAAAGCATACCATTGTAAAACTATAAATGTAATAAATTATAAAATAAAAACTCTGTAAAATAAAAATAAGAACTAGCGAGATATAAATGTAAACAACCAAAATCTTCTTGGTCTTAAAAAACCATGTAAACAAAATCATAATTGTAAAAAAGGATTCTGATCACCACGTCAGAAGAACTTCGGCTCCAAATAAAAAAAAAAAAAAAAAAACCATTAAAACGTACCTAGGGACGAACCCGAGCGAAGCGAGGATAAACTGCTAGTATAATATGTAATACATACTTACTAAACACATTGAAGACCAATTTTCGAATGAATATATCACAAACTTGTAAATAAATAAAAACTATAAGTAAAGTTATCATTAGAAACACCAAAAAGCTAAATTCCTTTAAACTTAGAAACATTTTTATAAAGAATTAACACAAAAACACAAAAAATCGATTTTGGTTTTAAATTAAACAACATAAACAAACGGAAATCACTGTTATTGTTAGGCTTTAAAGTTCAATTTTGATTAATACACAATTTTAATACTGGAAAGTCCCTCGACTAATCGAGATAACTCTGTGTTTTCAAATGAAAATCCTATCGTAGAAGTTTACTGTAGCTGTAATCTTCCAAACAACACAATATAATCTCTGCTTTATTACCGTGTAGTAAAGTATAATCTCCTTTAATAGGTTCTAAATAATCTGATAAGCCTATCTTATATGAAATGATCGAAACCATTATAAGTTAAGCTCTTATATGTATTGTTTGTATGAAATTAAAATATGAAATTGATGAATTATACGAAATAATGAAGGTCATGATTTATTGGTTGTTTGTTGTTGAGAGATCGATGAGATTATCAATGATGTTAGCATTTCTTTACGAATAGCCTAATATTGCTAATACATATAATATTCTATAGAAATACTCTCCCATAAATAAACATGCATATAATAAACTAGCGACGCACCCTCGCTTCGCTCTGGTTCGTCCCCAGCTTACTTCCCCATACAAACTTTCATCCCCATTTTCACTCCCTTAACTGATGATTTCGGGGATAAAAAGTATCCTATGTCCTTTCCAGTGTCTCAAACTATATTCTTACCAAATTTCATCTAAATCAATTCAGTAGATCCAGAGATTACCCCCTATAACGTCACAAACTCACAAACTTTACCTTTTTATTATATTAATATAGTATAGATTAAAAGAACTAGATTTAGTAACAACTTTGAAAGTGTCTCTATCGTTTAAGTTATTTTATACATTATGTCAAAATGGTAGGTAATATAAATGGTAAATGTAAGTATTGTATAGGTGTATAAGTAGATACAGCTGGTGTCTGGGCTTCACCTCAAGGGGGATTAGGCCATAGTCCACCACGCTGGCCAAGTGCGGGTTGGCGGACTTCACGTGTCTTTCGAAAAACTTGCTAAGCTCTCCAAGACATGCAGGTTTCCTCACGATGTTTTCCTTCACCGTTAGGGCAAGTGGTAATCATGTTGGAAATGATTCGCACATGAAAATATCAGAGGCGCGAGACCCGGGATTTAAACCCGCTTCACTCGATTTCCCAAGCGAGTGCGTTACCACTGGGCTACCACTGCCTAATTATAATAAACTTAATTATAATAGAAATACTAAAACAGATATATAATTTTCTCGATTACTAAAACCTAACGATTTCTTGTTTAATCTAACTACTAAACGCTAAATACTCCCGAAAAAAAAAACCTACTTTGGTAGGATCGGACCCAATGACCCTACAAAAACGCCTTATAGGTACGTAATAATTTAAAGTATAAAAATTCTAAACCTATTGATACACTTAGATTCTTTTCAAAACAGATCCATCTTAATTTTTGGGAATCACGCAAAAACCTGTTTTATTTAAATTATTACCTGCCAAAACATTCATCAACGCAATTCGTCACGGATCATTTCATATTTTGTATGCCGAATCGTAACAACTTTTGATTTATACTTTATTTCGCTCACTTAAGGAAATATTATCATTTAAATAATATGATTATAATTAGAATAGACATAACTTATTAAATAAAAACCAGATCATCAGAAAATGACCGATGAAGAGTAAAAAACAAAGTAAGACCTCGGACGACTTTTGAGCAGACCTGGTCAAAAGTTTGAGAAACCCTCAATGACGTCTTTAACATATATTTTTTTTTAATTTTCTGATTTTATTAAAAAACTTAAACTATAGGTACATATAATAAAATTTTAACTAAGCTGAATCTGTATATTAAATATTTTTTGGAAAATCTTATTAAAATAAACATTGTTATCGATACAGAGGCCGAATCTATAGTTTTTAGATTTTTTGTCTGTCTGTCTGTCTGTTACCCCATCACAGAAAAACCACTAGAGGGATATTGATGAAATTTGGTATGGTGATAGCTGGTTATCTGGGTCAACATATAGGATACTTTTTACCGCGGGAAAATATCTCATTTCTGAGAAAAATGCAAAAATTGCAATGTAAGACTATTCTAATATGTAAAACCTAAGAATTTGGTGTTTGGTCATCTGAACGCGCGCGGAGCCGCGAGCAATGCTAGTGTAGTTATAATTAGTCATTTTATAAACAAAGAATTGTTTATTAACAGTAGCGGCTTCCATACAAAGCAGGTTTGCTGATGACACCCGAAGTAATTTGCTCCCACGTTCGTCTACCGGTAGAAATGATGTACCGTTGAAAAATAAATTATTTTTCAATTGTAAAAGTGATAATATTAATATTTTTCTATATTAAGTGTCACTTATATATAGAATTACTAGCGGACCCGACAGACGTTGTCCTGTCTACACGTCTTTAATTTGAAAATTTCAAACTTTTTTTAATAATTTTTTTGATGAAAATTATTATTCAAATTGTGAATCTAAACCATTCCCAGATCCCCTTGAATACACACAAAAAATTTCATCAAAATCGGTCCAGTCGTTTGAGAGAAGTTCAGTGACATACACACTCACAGAAGAATTATCTTAATATATATATTTCTTGTGTGCGTGTGTATGTGACTGAACTCCTCCTAAACGACTAGACCGATTTTGATGAAATTTTTTGTGTGTGTTCAAGGGGATCTGGGAATGGTTTAGATTCACAATTTGAATAATAATTTTCATCAAAAAAATTATTAAAAAAGTTTGAAATTTTCAAATTAAAGACGTGTAGACAGGACAACGTCTGTCGGGTCCGCTACAATGAAAATGTCATTATAAATATGTATACGAGGCATTATAATCCAAACCAATATTTTTTATAATATTTGTCTTTGGGTTATCGGTAACTTATTAAAAAAAAAGCTGTAATGATTTTATTCAACAAATGATAATTAATTCATTATAAAAAAATGGCATTTATTTTCAAAGTGACCTGACCATCGGTCAGTAAATCTAAATATAATTAATTTCTACTCTGTTTTTCAAGCGATTTTTTTTCTCCGACTACTAAGATATTAATTAAAAAATTAAAAATCACAAAATACTTTATTTAAAAAGACTTAAAATTTTACATTTCATAATTAAATTAAATATCAGTATGTAAGTCTGTGTTGAATCTACCGCCGAAAGTGCTCGAAGTCAAGGAAGGCAGCCCATCTGAGAAGAACCGACAAGAAACTCAACAGTTGCTCTTTTAAAATATAGAATTATTTTACAATATACAAAACACGCCTTATATTGGAATTGAACCTTAGCTCTAGGAAAGCTGCACTAGCATACAACCTGAAGAAAATCGCCATTTAAAATATTAAATTTCTTACTACAATGTGTACAGTCCAAAAATAATTTATGAAAATGACTGCAAGTGTAATTTATGTTCAATTGTCTTCAGTAGGTTTTTGTGATTTTATTCGACTAACTAATTATCCGCTAAGGCAAACCGGCTTCTGTAAATTACTTGATGTTTGGTTGCTCTCTTATACCGTCCATGTATTATTTCGGACTAAATTTTATTATAGGTATTTTATTTATTACTAGCATTTTCCCGCGGATTCGCACGCGTCCAATTATGTATGTATCTTTAAAAATTATATTATTATATTTAATGTATAAGCTATATTACTGTTAAGTTTCATCAAAATCTGTACGTTTAATAGTTTTTGCGTGATAGAGTAACAAATAATACATCATTACGAACTTTCATGTACGGCTGCACACCCGGAGGTCCTGGGTTCGAGTCCCGGGTCGGGCTAAGTTTAGTTATTGAGTCTTCCTGTATAGTATGTCTCAGTAACAGCCCGGAGTTGGGAAGTTGGCGGTGTTTCACCCCCGTGCCTCGGAGAGCACGTAAAGCCGTCGGTCCTGCGCCTTAACTCTCACCGGTCGTGTCGAGTGGTCGTCCCACCGGAGTATGAGAGTGATAGGAATAGAGAGTGCACTTGTGTCTGCGCGTACACTTGAGCACTATAATATCTCCTGCGCAGTTGGCTAATCTCATTGAGATTGGCCGCCGTGGCCGGAATCGGCTAGGAGAACATCATCATTTAGTAGGACAAGTAGAACAGTTATTGATGACATTT